ATCAGTGTTAGCCTCCTAACAACATCCACTTCCTGGTCGGGTAGGGGTTTGGTTCAGGTGGGTGTGGATTTCTAAATATTTACCCCACTCATAGAGAGTTTCTAACCGAACAACTGTGCGATGTCTGTAAGAGTTGATCAGAAAGGTGAAAGCTCTGTTTTCATCATGTGGGTAAAAAAGTAACCAAACTATAACCACGGTTCTGAGAGGGTCGCTGTGTCCTGGTAGATGTTCAGAGTGTAAATAATAATAGTAATGATGTGTTGATTTTGTCAGGGCTCTGTGCTGAATATTTAAAGTCTGTAATCTGTGTGGGACAGAAGCCACATGAATCTTCTGCAGGTTCTCAGATTTGTTTTCCTGGATGTTTAACCTGAGCAATAAAACCACATTAAATCAGCTCTGCAGTGTGTGAGTCAGTGTGATCACATGATCTACGTCAACAGATGATGAGCGAACATGTTTCAGCTCACTGCAAGTCCATCTTTACAAATTTCTATGTTCTTACAATGGCAGCTGATGGAAAAGTTGCAACCAGCCTCTTTTTTTTTTTTTTTTTTTTTTTTTTTTTTTTTTTTTTTTTTTTTCTAGTGTCGGGTCGCAGAGGCAGTTCCAGAAATCTCTGCTGATCCCGAGGCATTCCCACATAACATAAATTACCTCATCAGTTAGTTAGGTTTCTCCTCACAGAGGCCAGAAAACCTCTACAGGGCGTTGACCAGTGCACTCTGGGCACCCTTTCCTCGTATTGTAAAACACATGTAAAAAACCTCGGTGTCTACATTGATGGTTCTTTTAAATTGACTAAGCAGGTGAGTGCAGTAGTTCAGTCCTGTTTTTTTCAGTTAAGACAGCTAGCCAAGGTAAAGCCATACCTTCTGGCTAACGTCTTTGAGCGTGTTATTCACCTTTTTCTTACTTGCAGATTAGACTACTGCAATTCATTGTATTATGGTCTAGATCAGGCCATCATCCATCGTCTTCAGATGGTTCAAAATGCAGCTGGTCACCTGCTAACTGGTACCAAACGGAGAGAGCATATAACCCCAGTTTTAGCTTCTTTACACTGGCTTCCTGTCTCCTACAGGATCCAATTTAAACTTCTACTTTTTGTTTTTAAGTCACTTAATGCCCGAGCCCCTCCTTACCTGTTTGAGCTCCTCTCTGCCTATGCTCCAGGAAAAACCACGAGGTCTAGCTCAAAACTAATGCTGTCCATCCCACGGACTAACCTCAAATCCTGTGGTGATAGATCCTTCTCTGTGGCAGGTTCCAGACTTTGGAATAGTCTCCCCTTAAATATCAGATCTGCACAAACACTTGAGCAATTTAAATCATTACTAAAGACACATTTCTATGCCCTGGCTTTTAACACACTATGACCCAAGCATTTTGGCCTTATTTGAATTAGTTTAGTTATTGTTTTAATTCTTTTACTGTCCTATTATTGTTTTTTTACTGTTATTATTGTATTATATTGTTGCTTTTTAATACCATTTTTATATTGTTAAGCACTTTGTGCAGCATCAGCTGTTTGAAATGTGCTATATAAATAAATTTGACTTTGACCTTGACCTTCATCCTGGCTCTCCTCAACATGACACCCTGAGCCACCAGCACACCTCTCACCTTTCTGCCTGATTCAAGCTTTCTTTGTCTCAGTGCTCTTTCAAATCATGCTATTGTTGGTTTTTGTTATCACAGCAACAATAATAATAATAATAATAATAATAATAATAATGGATTGCGTTTATATAGTGCTTTTCGAGACCTTCAAAGTGCTTTACAATTCCACTATTCATTCACTCTCACATTCACACACTGGTGGAGGCAGCTACAGGTGTAGCCACAGCTGGGGCAGACTGACAGAAGCGAGGTTGCCATATCGCACCATCGGCCCCTCTGGCCAACACCAGTAGGCGGTAGGTGAAGTGTCTTGCCCAAGGACACAACGACTGTCCAAGCCGGGGCTCGAACCTGCAACCGGTGCCTACATCCTGGAATATACTATAAATGTAAAAAAAATAATCTGATCCCTGTGTTTATTCCATTAATTAAAGATGTGAGGACGAGGACAACAACAAGCTGCCTCTTTCTGTCTGTGTCAGACCTCATGTTTGGGTTTTTGTTAGTGAGTCTGCAGGAAGCTGAAAGTGTCCGCTTACCTCCGATCATCCAGAAAACCAAAGATTGTGTTCAGAGCAGGAAACACCAAGTCTGAACCTCACACTTCCCTTCGGTAATCTCAGCACAGACGGAAGAAACCGTGTCAGTTTTCTTCTGTCTGCGTGAGGCTGCAGCGCCCCCGAGTGGACTCAGTCTGAGCTGCAGAGTGTGTGCCCAAATCTCTGGCCCAGCTGCTTCCCATTAAGGTGTGTGAGTGAGGCACAGACACAAATCCACAGACAGTCACTGCCTGAGGTGTCTCTGCAGCTCGTCTTTGGTGCAAACAGGTGGAATGAAGCTGGACAGCTCCTCTGATGAGAAGAACTGAAGCTCTTCATCCTCCTCCTGTCTAGGCTCAACTCCCACACTTCATCCAGGTGACCCCAGAGGGACACACCTCTTTCCTGCCGTCACATTTACAGGTACGTTATGAAGACTCAGCTCACCTGGAACCCTGCTCAGGTGAAGCAGTGCCTCCACCTGAACAACTTCCTGTTCAGAATCAGTGTGTTTAAATCCTTTTATGGGGTGTAGAGGTAACCCTCCAGAACACACTAGGAGACAGGTGAGACGACCTGAGGCTGATCACGGTGGGGATTTTAAAAATATCACAGTTAAAGTTACTGCAGGAGGTGGCACATGTTCAGCTTACAGCGGTACAGTACTGATTCAGCGGTGACCTTCGACCTTTGTGATCTGAATCAGTCCAACCTGGTGGCCGTGGCAAAGATGAAGCGTCTTCTGATTCATGAAGCCTGCTGGGGGCGATGCAGGTAACCCAGGAGAGGTAGGGGGGTGTGTGTGTGTGTGTGTATATAACAGGGCGGCCCTTAGTGGCTGGAAACACAGTGAGGGAAGTGTAGTGGAACAGAAAGTATTTATTTGCCATACAGCTCTCCTTACAACAATTCACTAATCGAGCTTCTTCACAGCACAATTAACCCTCTAATGACAACCGGCAGCCTTAAATATGTTCAGCTGTCACAGACTAAACCATTCTTCCACTCTCAGGTAAATTCTTAAATCCCAACCTTCCACCACAGTATACAATATACCAGTTTGAATAAATAAATGCATAAATACATTTCACATTTTTATATTAATAAATATTTCACACTTTAATTTTACACCAAACTCAATATTATAAAAACCCAAGCACAAAAAGATTCACCACACTCGCTTAACCCATGGTCTCTCCCGGAATCTTTAAATGGTGTCTGGACCCCCAGGGAAACATTTGCCCAAACACCTTGAAGAGGACACAGGCAAGAAAGGGGAGTAATCATTATCGTACAAACACCTATTTGCACCACTTTTATTCCTAGATTTCCCTCTCTCACACACACACACACACACACACACACACACACACACACACATTTGCATTAGTTGTCCTTACTGGTAAACCTCAATCTCAGTCACCTTTCTTCTCTCCTGACAGACAACCACCACATTCCTTGATGAGGAGCAGCTGTGCAGGATCTGAAACAAGCCTACCAACTGATTTTAAAATTCCCAATAAATAGTCAATAAATATTTAAACTTCTTGTGTGCAAATGTTTTACTGTGCAAATCCATGCTTAAAGTGCAATGCTAAATAAAGTGCTTGAAAATGTGCTTTTAATGAAGTGAAAGGTGTGCTCTGAAGTGCTATACAGATAATATAAATAAATGTAGTAAGGGAGTCCTCTTCCTTACACTGTGTCTGTGCATGTATGTGTGGTCTCCTGCTGTCAGAGGGCGTGTGCAGCCCGGTGACCTCCTGTGTGGTTTTGTTTGAGTGCTGCTGAGCGCGCTCTTCCTGCCTTGATGAGGAAAGCTTCATGAGGACTGCATCCTCCTTTAGAGGCAGAAAAATGCAGCTGGGCTCCGGATCCTCTCAGCGCTGTATTGTCTCAGGCACTTCCTGTTTCCTGTCTGCTCTGCTCAGATTGTTGTTTGGGCAGCAAGGAGGAAACTCCACTGCTGTCCAGCTCCTTAGTGCTGAGAGGACAGGACACAGTGTCCACGAGGACCTCTGAGCGCCCACGGGACAACTCCCTCATGTTGTGAAGTGACTGACTTACCTGCAGACGAGTGTACATGAAGCCATGAAACCCACAGAGCAACTGTGAAACCTAATTAATGCAAGTGGTTGATTTACCTGCTCATCTCACGTTTTACAGTTAAATAGCAGAAAGGCTGTTGAGCGACTGAAGCCCGAGGCCAGCATGAAGGGGTCTGTGATAAAACTCCTGATTAACTTCATTTTACAGCTTTAACATCTTCTTTATATTTTAGGAGCTTTTTCTTAAATCACAAATGCATAAAGATGATATCACAGTTTTCTTTTACATTACAGAAGCACGAACATGTTAATTCTGTATGATCAGAAGTGGAATGAACTGAGCATGTGCAGTTTAATCATTTTCCTGATGATCATAAATCAAAGCTGCGCTGGAGAGAACTGAGAGTTGACCTTCTTGCAATACATAGCTATATGAATATGTGCATTGTTCCTGACTACTTTTGTTGTCTTTTTTATATGTATTAGTGAACATTTAAACGATTTTTAAGAAATAAAGAAATTAATAATAAGAAACAATCAGAATAATAATGATAATAATAATAACAGGTTTAAACAGAGCAGGTGAGAACAGCTGTACTTTGCTCAGGTTTTTAATGCAAACGCCTTAAAGCACGTTTAAAAAGAACGAAGACATGAACATGAACCTTTACTGATGATCTGGAGAACTTACGGATCAATGCCAGCAAGTGGATCTGGAGACACAGTCTGACCGGAAGCTGTACTTCCTTGGGACTTTTATTGTGAAAGTGAGCAGAGGTTGTGCCCGCAGTGGTCGCGTGTAGCTTACCGTAGCTGCTCAGAGTTTCTCCTCCCGGCGCACTGAGAGCCGCGCGCACTACTTACCGGACTGAACCGAGCACAGAGACCGGAACACGGAGCAGGAGGCAGGCAGAACCGGGTCGCAGGTAAGGCGCTCCCAGTCCTTCAGACTTTACTTAAACAGTCTCTCAGAGTCCCGCAGGAAGCGGCTCCTCCTGCCGCGGAGCCGCGCACAGTCCGCGGGTCCGACCCCGCCACAGGTTCGAGTCTCTGAGGGTCTGGATTCACACAAGGGGTCTGAGGGGATCCAGACTGGAGTCAGAGTAAATTAGTGTGAGGGACAGCAGGACTTCTCTTATGTTATTGTATTTTTACACACCTCTGTTGCTGTGAAGCTCGCACACAAGAATTTCACTCGCATGTACCGTACCAGCGTACCTGCACATGTGATGTGACAATAAAAGTGATTTGATTTGACTCGAGCTTCTGATGTTAGTGGATCTCTGAGGTTTTGAAGGTCTAGGTTTGCTATCCTGGTCCTGGTTTTATGGTCCTGGCTCTGGTTTCAGGGTCCTGGTTCTGGTTTTAAGGTGATGCTGGTGTATTTGGTGCATGATCTGGTTTCAGGGTTCTAGTTCTGGTTTTAGGGTGTGTGCTGGGTTGTTGGAGTCCGTCTCTGCCTTCACTGGCTGCAGGACAACATCGTGATTGCTGACATCATGATCACAGCTGATCTTGTCCTCTGAGCAACTTCATCATGACATCATCAGCTGGTCATTCATCAGTTCCTTTTCCTGTTTTTTGATTTCAGTTGATCAGCTGATAATCAATGAAAGGATTGATTTCTACAGCCGAGTGTTTGAGGTGTTACACACACACAGAGCAGCACCGTGTGTGTGTGTTTGTGTTGAGAAGAACAGAACAGGAAGGGAAAACTCCCTGTGATGTAACATCCTGTTTATCAACGTGTCATGGCCTCTGATTGGATGTTTTTGTGTTTTATTGTCCGGTTATTGCTCAGCATGTCTCTGCTTCGTAATTCTGTGTGTGAATATTTGTAAAATCATCACCCTGTGGGATTATATCTGACCTCTGACCTCAGCCTGGACCGTTATCTTTGGCTCTGTGCTGATTCGTACCTCAGGTCTCTGATCAGAGTGAAGCGTCTCCTCGTTCGTCTCACTGTTTCAGGGCCCTGAGACAGGTTCAGGGGCAGAATGATGCTGAACGTGACACACAACAGGGTCAGAGGTCGGTGGAGCCCAGTTCCCCCGACAGCCATCAGTGTCAGAGAATAATCTTTGTTTTCAACAGAGGAAAGCAGGTTTCCTGATTTTAGAGCCATCTGTGAATGTCCCACCTGGTGCCCACAGGTAGTCATGTGCGTTCCTTGGGCTTTAATAGTTACCTGCAGCCTCACACAATGTACACCACAAACTTTAACTGTTAATCCAGTCCAGTCAGTGATGATGCTCCAGGTCAGAGTTCAGGTTCACATCAGCCTGTCTGTAAAACACACCTGAATAAATCCTGTGCTCCACCTGAACACGCCGCTCTGCCCTGAGAACATGTTGCTCCGCCGGTTGGTCTGAAGGGCTGCTCCTGGTTGAGTTCTTAAAGTCAGACATCTGTCTTCATAGACTCGCTCACTGAGTTCTGCTGTGATCCTGCATGTTTGGGATCTCCTGCATGTGGAGTTTGTGGTTAAATGGGGATTTCAGGTTTGGCTCAGTTTTGCCTTTCTGTGATCATGTGATGTATTTATCCTGAGAAGCTCGAACTGTGAAACTCCTGTTTATCTGATCACCTCCTGATGGCTCGCTTTGATTTCCAGGGAAGCTGTAAAATAGTTTTTTAGTGTAAGAGAAGCGTGTGTTTCTGCACACACTCAGTAAAACAGGAGGTCGCTCTGTGTGCAGAGGGCTTTTTAAACCTCAGCAGGTAAAACTGAATGCATCACGACATTCACTGCTCAGCTGACCAGTTTTCTTTTATTTAAATAAAGAATTAATCAGACTTTAGAGCTCAGAGGAAATCTATAGAGGTGTAGAATCAATAATAACCCAGTGTTCCCAGTGTTCCCAGTGCGCGTCAGTGTGTGGTTCCTGTCACAGCTCAGGAACAATCAGCCCTCTGTTTCACACAATAGAGGCTCACTGTTATTATACTGCCTCATTCGCCCACCCTCACTCTCCCAGCCTTCCTCTCTGCTGCTCCTCCTCATTACAGAGCAACGCCTCGGTCCGACATATCTGCAGCAAGCACAAACCTGCAGGCTCACAGAGAACCTGTAGACCCAGAGAGAACCTGCAGAGAGAACCTGCAGGACCAGAGAGAACCTGCAGAGAGAACCTGCAGAGAGAACCTGCAGGGCCAGAGAGAACCTGTAGACTCAGAGAGAACCTGCAGGGCCAGAGACAACCCGCAGAGAGAACCTGTAGAATCAGAGAGAACCTGTAGGGGCAGAGAGAACCTGCAGAGAGAACCTGTAGACTCACAGAGAACCTGCAGGGATAACCTGTGGACTCACAGAGAACCTGTAGACTGAGAGAGAACCTGCAGGGCCAGAGAGAACCTGTAGGGGCAGAGAGAACCTGCAGAGAGAACCTGCAGGGCCAGAGACAACCCGCAGAGAGAACCTGTGGACTCACAGAGAACCTGTAGAATCAGAGAGAACCTCTAGAGGCAGAGAGAACCTGCAGAGAGAACCTGTGGACTCACAGAGAACCTGTAGACTGAGAGAGAACCTGCAGGGCCAGAGAGAACCTGTAGACCCAGAGAGAAAGCATCGCAGCGGCTACAACCATTATCGTCTGCAAATTATGCCAGGCGGCAGTCATAGCAAAGAGATGAAGTACTTTTGAAATATGGGGAAAGCCAAAAATTGCGCTTCCTCCACTTTCGTAACATTGATTCCTTAATGTTGAATTCTCTCGCAGCTGCTCTATTCCCATGTTGTTGCAGTATATTAATAACTAACCTTGTAACTAATCTTAGTTGTTCTCCTGACTGAAGTTTGGCCCGTGTATAGTATCCTGATATGTGATTGCATTTGTCCCTGACCACCAGAATCCCTCACGTTAACTTTTATCGAGTGGAAAACACGTTGGCGTTCATCCTCCAGCTTCACTGTGCTAATGTTATGCTAACATAGCTGTGTCGCTAGCAATCATGTAGCACAACATTATATACCAGGTAGTCCAACTTCAGTAACCCTGCAAACGTCACTGCTGTTTAGTTTTCTGTCTTCATTTATGTTGGAAGTAATAGCAGAGCTGTACGTTTGAATTAGTTTCAAAAATCTCTGTCAGAACATGGTATCAAATGTTTAGGTGGACACTAGCCAGCTAACTTCCTGTTAACTTCTAACTCCGTTAAATTTAATAAATTCTGTTTTCATGGATGCATGGATGTTAAACTTCATAGTTACACCTGGTAAAGCAGCAACGCTGATGATTTTATTAAAGATGAAAGAATTTAGACTGTTTTTAACTCTCAGTGTTCGTTTGACTTTGGGACCTGAAGTGGATGGAGTTTTGGACCCAGATTACTCCGCGAAGCTCCTCACTACGGCAGCCGTAATGCTCTGACAATCCATTAAGCAGTGCGGCTTACCAAAGTTGTACTAAAACATTTTTTAACAGATTTCTGCACGCCCAAATCGGTTCAAGGTCAGTAAGCACAACCAGAATTCATACATAAGGCACTCTCTCGATTTTTGAGAAAATTAAAGGATTTTAAGTGTGCCTTATAGTGTTGAAAATACATTATACAGAAGAAAAGAATATATCGTGATATATATCGTTACCGCACGTGCTTCAAATTATACCGCGATATGGATTTTAGGCCATATCGCCCAGCCCTAGATGACAGCTTTTTGTCTTCCAGCTTCGCTCTCCCAGGTCTTTATCATGTGAAAAATCAGCTAACATACAGAAACACCAGTGATGAGGCGGGCGGCATGGGAGCAATGTCAGGGAGGTGAAGAGGGAGGGATGGGACGAGGACAGGGTGTGTTTGGTGTTTGGGGAGAAATGGGAACGGCAGAGGTAGCGCGGGTGCGTCTGAACCAAGACGTTTTTCTGCGTCTGATTTCAGCTGTCAGAGCAGGACCGCTTCAGCCAGGCCAACCAGGTCTCCATGAGAGCTGCACTTCACCGGACAGACTTTCACCGTTTTTACCAGATTTGTCTCTCAGGCTGCAGGCTGCGAGCCTTCAGTCCTCCTGAGGAAGTCTCAGACAGCCTAACATTTGGCACAGTGTAAACAGGGTTGTTATGCAAGCTTGATGTTGTAGCACTTTAACACCTTTGTACGTCTTTGCTGTTTTTCTTGGTTCAGTAACAGCGAAGACAGTGATGTTTGTAGGGACTCTTTTAAATAGTCAGTGCCAAAGTTTGAGCTGTGACAAGGAAACTGGTGCAGATACGTGTGTAGTACGACCAGCTGCTGAAAATCCCCGCGTCCATCCTTGCAGCGTGTCACGGGGTGTCCTCAGGAACAAACACAGGGTGACCTGCGCACATCATTCAGGGGTTATCAGAGTCACATGATGTAGTCACATCTGAACAGAACATGGACATGCTGTAGTAATCCATGCTGCCTCACACAAACCTGCATAACAATAATAAAGTAAGATTATTTTACTTTTTTGGCCTTTATTGACAGGTACAGTAAAGAAATGACAGGAAAGCAGCCGGGGGGGCTGCGGGTCAGACTCAAACCCGGGCCGGCTGCTCACGTGCTGTTAGCGATGGTGTCGTGCTGCGTTACTGCCTGTTTGTGTGTTGGAGCTGTGAGCTTGTGTGTCTTTGCAGTTTGGTCGGCTGACACTTAGCCAGCAGACAGAATCGGCTCTTTTTAACAGCCGCCATGAAGAACTCGTAAAGTTTCCTGTGAAAATCTGTTCGAGGAGTTTGACACCTGGTGTCTGCTGTTTGTGGCCCATTGTGTTCAGCGTGACTTTATTTGGGCCACGCGGCGTCAATGATGACCTAGTTCTAATCAGTAATCAACATCCAGTCGTGTCAAAGACCCCCACTTTGGATCAATATCATCGGAACTAAAGCAGCTATCATAAATTAGACTCCCAGCATGCATTTCCAAGCCCACTCTCTGACCTCAGGTTTGACTCTTGTCATTTATTGGATTCTTCTTCACAATCACATGGAGGGTCAGTCCCCTGCAGACCCCGCACTGTGCACCCTGAATCAGCTGGTGTGTGGAGGGAAACTGGTTCGAGTAGATCACACCACAAATGTGATTTTGGTGCCTTCTACCCCTCGCTCATGAGGACCAGCACCATCAGCTGGAGACACCGACAGAGCTGATGGTTTCACTGATTTTACACCGTGGGCCACGTATAACCCACTGTGATGTTTAGTGGGCCGGGCCAGTGAAAGATTTTTAAGTACACATTAAATCAATACAGGGACAGATGTGTTGGATCCAGTGGTCAGAATATGAACGTCCTTCGATGTCCTGACTCTGACTGGGTTTTACACCCAAACCTCAGACATGAGCTCCAGCTGTAGCTTCAGTCAGCCTGCGCTCGGCCCTCCTCTCTCCTGTCTCAGCTGCAGTGTTTAAAAGTGGAAGTCGGATGGGAGGGTCTGTATCCTCTGGCTGCTTTTCCTTGGCTCGGTCTTTATCTGTGGCCTTCACTGACTTCCTGCCTGGTTCTTTAACGTTTTTCCTCCTCGGCCGCTCTTTTTCCTCTCACACCGGACTTTCTGTTTTCTGTCACTGCAGTTTTTCTCAGGCTCCTGCTTTTTACTCCTGCTGGATTTGAGAAACTCTCCAGTTTTACATTAAAATGTCTCCCACAAAGTTGATTCTGTTCATCTGGACGTTTTCAGAGAAACGTTTCGTCATCATCAGGTGACTTCTTCAGTCTCAGCTGACTGCAGGTCTCCCCAACCTTTAAACAGGACATTTACACAATGACTGACAATGAGCTATGAGATCAGTTTCATCATTGTTAATATGCAAATTGTCATGATCAATGATCAACAACCACTAATCAAAGAGCGCTGATCACTGATCGTGACAGTTTGCACATTAACAAAGATGTGACCTCGCAGCCCATTTTCAGTCATGAGTAAATGTCCTGGCTGGAAACCTGCAGTCAGCTGAGACTGAAGAAGTCACCTGATGATGATGATGATGAAACGTTTCTCCCACCGAGCAGATGCATGTGCTTGTATCAAGACATGAAAAGGTCTCATGTGGAAATGTTTGCAGCCGGGAGTCATGTTGATATTATTACTCAGTGTGGTTTCCTGTGGATTGGTGTTGATTCACCACCATCTGTGAACATCTCTGAGTGAACGGTGAGTAAACTAGACTGCAGCGACCGACCTCCTGTTCCCCTTTTACAAAGTGCCTAAAATGACTCTCCTCTGTTTCTACCTTTATTATCCTGGAAAAAAGTAACATGAGGAAGTTTGTGAGGGTGGTGCAGGACGTGTGTGGGGACAGAGACAGTGGTGTGCAGGTGGAGTGACAGATGGGTTAAAGATGGGAGTGGGATACATCAGGGATCTGCTCCGAGCCCCTTCTTGTTTGCAGTGCTGATGGACAGGCTGACAGATGAGGTCAGAGAGGAGTCTCTGTGGACGCTGATGTTTGCAGACGACACTGTGATCTGTAGTGAGAGTAAGCAGCAGGTGGAGGAGAGCCTGGAGAGGTGGAGGCATGCTCTGAAGAGATGCAAGACAGAATACATGTGTGAATGAGAGGGTGGATGTGTAAGTAGAGCTGGGCGATATGAGATTTTTTCATATCACGATATGTTTTTTTCATTTCAGGCGATAACGATATCTATCACGATATAAGCCAAATAACTATATTTGTAAGATTTAAATGTGCCATTGCTCACAAGTAAAATGTGAAATAATCAGCAGCTTGTTTTTATTTAAATATTTATTTCCCATAATAAGTTCAACAGGGTAGATGTACTTAAGGAACATGAGACTTTTTCAGATAAATAAAGGCAAATATTGCAAACTACACAAAAGGCAGCCGCTAAAGCGTTTAAGTTTCAAAATAGAACAAACGAAACAGACTAAATTGTCAATTCCACTTAGAAACAAAATATTAATTCTAAAAATAAATCTTAGTTTGTTTTACAGAAGAACAGACAAAACTGACTAACTTTTGTCAATATCAAATAAACTGAGAACTAAAAGGAAATTCTCAATCTCTCCTTGTTGTATAGCTTAGCTTTTCAAACAGTTTTAACAGTTACTTTAGTCTGACAAAAGCCGAATGACGAATTAGCGCTTCCAGTCAGAGACTGAGGCTACGTCCACACGTACACGGGTATTTTTGAAAACTGAGATTTTCCGTTTTCGTTTTAAAAAATAATCCCGTCCACACATAAAGGCAGAAATGAAGGAAAACGCTGCTATGAACACGCCAAAGCAGCAGGTGGCGCTAGATTCCTAACCGTGCAGAAATGTTGGCCAATCAGAAGTCTAGAAGCCTCGGTGGGAAAAAGTAAACAAAGCTGGGGCATAGAAGCAGAACCGAGTCGTATGTGTGGACGGACAGTAACTGTGTGTATATGTAAGCATTTAAACACTGCAGAGAGTAGAATTAACAGTAACAGTATTGTAGAAATTCATTTCACCGAAACAATAACGTGGCGCACAGTGTGACGCATGCACCAGTTTATTGTATTTCCAGACTTGCTTTCGGCACGCTACTCTGTTTTTTGTCAGACTTGAAATAGCCGAAATACCTTCACACTACGGAACTTCTATGGCTCTTCCGTTCGACAATCTCTCCGGCATTGGAACCATCATCTGTTATCTCTTCGGTCATGCTCGGTTGATTTTTCTAGTCGGCACACTCATTTCCTCCATTATGCGCTGGCTCCATTACCCGCCGGCTGCTTCCCAAACAAACACACGTGCGGCTTGGTACTTGTGCTGTACGTAACGCCACGTGACGCTGCGGCTGTGATTGGTTCGGCTCTGCGCTACGATACTTGATTTGGATTGGCTGACCTTTTTTTTTTTTTTTTTTTTTTTTTTTCATATTAAGAGGACAAGAGCGGCGAGGTCTATCGCGATAGCTTGATTTCTCTATCGAGTAAAAGTTATATCGCGATACATATCGTTATCGTTCTATCGCCCAGCTCTATGTGTAAGGAGTACAGAGGGTCAAGGTGATGAGCCTAAATACCTGGGGTCAGCCATCCACAGAGACGGGAGAGTCCAGGTAGGGTGGAGTTTGTGGAGGAGGGTATCGGGGCGGATTTGTGACACGAGGATGGCAGCGACAGTGAAAGGGAAGGTTTAAAGATAGAGCACGATCCAGCACACATGTCAGCACGAGGCATCGAGTCTCTCAAAATAAAACCAGCTTCAGTCTGTGAGCATGCGCTGTGACGAGTCCACGGACGCTGCAGATTTCAGCTCTGAGACGAGGTGCTGCAGCTGTCCTGCGTTTTCTTTCCTCCTGTTGGTCGCCGGCTTCAGTCTGAGGAGACGTCAAAGTCCTGACAGAGAGATGCTGGCGCTGACGACACTCGGCGGCTCTCTGTGGTCACGTGACTGCACGGAAGCATGCATTACTGTGTTATTTATGATACGATCACATCATTGACACAGCATTGATCATGTTGTGTGTCACAGCTGTTGTGTAACGTGTTTCCTGGCTGTGTGGCGGCTGATCTCAGAACAGACGCAGCTTTTGTCTGAAGAGTGGAGGAGGAGGAAAAAGGTCGGCTGGAGGAAGCTGCTGTGACTCACTTCCTCCTCGGCCTTTGTCTTCCTGCAAGACGCTGCAGCCGTGTGTGTGTGAGTGTGTGTGTGAGTGAGTTATTTTTACTTTGGTGTTAGACACATGCTCTTCTGTCTTTCTCTGAGTGACGTCCTGATGCTGACAGAGAGCTCTCCCCAGCTCCATCACACCTGCAGTTTTACTGTCACACCTGGACTTCAGTATATCTGCTGTGTTCACAGGCTCTTATTGTTAAAGGTCCAACAGGAAGCTGCATCTGCTTCTTAGTTGACATCTCCTGAACACATCACAGAGAGGTGACACACACTCACACACACACACACAGACCCACACACACACACTCACACACACAGACACACACCCACCCACACACACACAGACACACACAGACACACACACACTGGCAGGATGCAGGGAGCCGCTGAAGTGAAGCGTGCTGCTCCGAGCTGGAGAGTTCTCCTTGTCTCATTGGCTGTGTGTGACTTCCAGCTGTTGATCCAGCAGATGATCCAGATGTGGGTCTGTTTTGGGCCCACAGTTTGTTCCCCGAGTTTTTCCTTGTAGCAGCAGGGGTGTCAGGGTTTCATGGCAGGAACCCTCAGCCTTTATCCCCACAGTGACCCTCTGTCTGATTCTCTGCTGCTGTGCAGAGGTCAAAGGTCAGCCTGCTGCAGACGCAGAGAGACAATCGTGCAGCTGTGTCTGCCTGCTGACATCATACTTTCTTCTTCTTTTGTGGTTTTAGTTCTCAGAAAGAGGGGCTCGTGAGCTCCAGAGGTCAAAGGTGACAGTGGTGCCATCTACACGGTGTGTGGAGGCAGTTTGTTAATTGATCTTAATTAGAGGATGCGGTTCAAAGAAACATTTAACGCCCCCTGCTGGAGGAATGAATGGTTACAGAGGCTGGCTCCTGTTGTGTGTGTGTGTGTGTGAGCCAGTGTTTCTGGTTTTCTGGTTTCAGTGTGGGGTTAGTGAAGCAGCAGAACTTAAACCAGTTTCTGATGATATCTAAAGCAGATCAATCTTTCACCTCTTTCTCCACCAGATGGACGACCGCCATCCGCCACTGCTGTAGGTCAGCGATGGCCCAGGTGTTTCCTGCTGGTGGAGGAGATGAAGCCCAGTCCGGACTCTGTGTTGGTCATCATGGGCTCCCTGGATGGAAGCACGCCGGTTGAGAGGCTGCTTTCTGCGATTCATCTGGAGAGGTCAGGATTGAGGAGTGCAGCATGAAATGGGGGGAAACCGAAACGGCACAATCATCAGATAGTTTGTGTGGCAATGTTGTATCGATACAGGGACTCCAAATATTGATATTCTATTAAATAAGTTAAAATACAGCCGGGGCCTCTCTGTGTGGAGTTTGCATGTTCTCCCCGTGTGTGCGTGAGTTCTCTCTGGCTACTCTGGCTTCCTCCCAAAGTCCAAAGACATGCAGTTAATGGGGTTAGGTTCACTGGAAACTCTAAATTGCCCACAGGTGCAAATGGTTGTCTGTGCCTATGTGTCATCCCTGTGACAGACTGGTGGCCTGTCCAGGTTGTACCCTGCCTCTGGCCCTAAGACAGCTGGGATAGGCTCCGGCTGGATGGATGGAAATGAACATACTGGAGGGCTCGTTACCTGCACTGCCATCCGGAGATAATGTATACGTACTGAGCTCGCCAAAGCTACCCGATGGCTCGGCCACACGAGGAAAATCAGGGCAGCATCCTCCTCACAGCTACAAAAACAGTGTGAGGTTGTCTATGATTGCCATGCATGGTTAGCTCGCCGCTTGTTGCTGCTGCACACTCACCGTTCTGCGATCGCACAGGAGACAACCTGTCTGCGAACAGCCTCAGGCTGACTGCAGTCATTCTCACAGACTGCTTTTCTACTTCAGAAATGCAGACAGATGAAAACACGTGGTCCTCAGTGTGACTGAGTGGGCTCAGCTGCCTACAGAACTGGGTGCACGTGTAACAGTTAAAAATGAACTTCTGTCCATGTCAATAAATGTGATTTTTAACACGTTATCACAGAAACTGACAACCAATCAAAGGGCAGCTCCCATCTAGCCAATCAGAATTACTTTAGGCTTCTGTCTTCCTGCAGGTACCTGGACACCTTCCATCGAGCCGGTCTCCTATTGGCTAGAGACTTCACACACCTCGACAGCGATGCATTGGTCAGTCTGGGCATAACTGCCACAGGACACAGGAAGAGAATCCTACGATTGGTCGGTTACATCGAGAGGACAGAAGGCCAAAGAGCCAATCGGAACGCAGATCTCCCTCGTGACCGCTGTCAGTCAGTTTGTTCTTCGAAGCGCGGTCGCACCGAGTCGCCCCGTCAGGAGGTGATCAGGAACAGCTCTGCTCCCGATCTCGCCGCCATGCTGGCAAACTCCGATGGCGGCAGGCCAACAGTGAAGCCGGTCCCCAAACCGAGAACTGTCTTCAATCGCCGCAGGACCGCGCCCATCCAGTTCACCCCAACACCCGACCCTGCTCCACCCCTACCCAGGAGGCTTTCCCAGGAGTCCATCTGCCTCACTGTGCTGGAAAGTCTGAGCTCAGCGGACATGCCCACAGCAGACAGTGCTTTGACCTCTGACCTCAGTGACAAGGCGCCGTCACCAAGCCGAAGGTCGAGCCATGGGGAGAGAACTGGGAATGGCCGCTGCAGGTCTCTGTCAGACACTGGAGGGTTACCGCCGGTTCCCCCGAGGCTGAACCGCATCGTCCCCCCCGCCTCGATGCAGGGGAATCCTCGCGCTTCTTCTTCTTCCCCTGTTCCCACAGAGCATTTGCAGGCGCCGTCCTTCATTTCCTGCACGGGTAGTCATGACAACAGCAGGTTCTCTGGATCCTCCCCCTCCGCTTCTCCCCGAGGAGGAGGCCTAGAGATGGTCTCCAATGAGATATATTGGGGCACGTTACACAGCTCTGCTGCCCCCGGTGGGAAGAGGAATTATTGCAGCCAGCAGTCGGCTCCTCCCACTCCACCCAGACAGACACCTGAGAGGAACTGCGAGAGGAACAGGTTAGTCACCGTGATGCACCAGTATTTGGACCGGGGTACGTTCCAATACTCAGTTTCATTTAGCAAGGTTTGCGACTCGGTCCGAGCGGTCTGAAGTCTGCACCTCCTTTAGCGGAGGAGACACGTTCTTCATGAAAGCATCCCACAATTCATAGCTACAGACCATCTGATCATTCCTAAAAGCGATCATCTGGATGTTTTTGCATTAAAGCATCTTTCCTTCACCTGTATCGAGGTCAAGGAGGATGGGTTAGGAAAAGGAGTTTTTGCGTGTTCGAGCGTACCCCAGGATCCATGATATGTTTGTTAAAAATCAGTTTTTATGTGAAGGCCCAGGCCTGACATGATTCATCATTTTCACTGTGTTTGTTTCAGTGGCAGCACTTTAAGTAACAACTCTTCAGGATCAGCCAGAGGTGAGTTCAGAGCTCTGAGTCGCACAGAACAGCCTAAAACCCAGGCAGGTCGAGCCTTGTCTGTAAGCTCTGCCTACAGGAAGACGTCATTACTCGTTTCCTGTCAGCCTGATCGAAACATAAAACTATTTAGTGACTGGTGTGTGAGACTCCTAGTTCCCAGACAGTGCACGCACACTTGAGAACAATGTTCCCTCTAAGCTGCACGCGCGCGCAATTGCGCACTGCTGTCACGGTGTCCGCACACAGGAAATCTGCATTGCACACAAAAAAAAAATCTAACCTGAATTGCAATGAAAATAAATACGTTAACAATTGATTCTGTTTTACAGTGTGAGTTTGTAAGTGACCGGCAACTGGCCGCTCCAGCCAATAATGCGATTCACATTCGTATATACGCAGCTAATCAACGTTGACAGGCTCTGACAGCGTCCTTATGTGCCGACACCGGTGTTTTAGCGAGCAAAGCGGCTGATGTGGAGTGAAGCCACGTTAATGACAACATGTACAACCATTGGAGATGTGAGCAGGACAGAAGGAACAACTGACAGAAAAAGTGTGGACTTTATGCCAGTTTTTAAATTGTGTTGATCGGCCACGTAAAACCAGAGTCATGATAAAAATATCTGCAATGTTTGGTTTTCTTCCTGAATACTGTCGTTGTTTATATTTTATATAAAAACTGCGTTTTATAAGGAAAACGCTCGAAAGCGCTCTCTGCCTGTGAGCAAAAACAACACCAAAAAAACCCCCCACCCTTTCCTATTGGTGGAAAAATGCACCATGTTGACCAATCAAAAAATGATATGGCAACATGGCATTTAGTTGTTTAGGAAGGGGGAAGTTTTAGGAGTGACGGCGGTGTTTGAGATGTGAGAGATTTGCGTTTAGCACAAATCTTGTGTAGTTAGCGTGTAGTGTAGTCAATAGTTTTGTTGTGTGTGTCAGAACAAAGAGGCGACTGCTGAATGTTACAGGTGTTACAGCAGTGATACATCTGCTGCTGTCAGGCCTGCAGGTATCAGGCTGTTGTTCTCCTTTATCTTATAGTGGACAGAAATTATTTTTTGGAGCGGCACAAATAATTTGTGTGGCATTAGATTTGATGCAGAACAGCTGATTGTTCTGTAAATAGTTTGAAATGTTTATTTAAAAAACGCCTTTGCTGCATTTTTAGGTAAACAGCTGCAAAAAACTTTGTTGTTTGCAAAACTCAGTTACTTTTTTGAAGAAGTAACTATATAATTAATTGCCCAGCATTGGTCATTATTTACTGTATTCAGACAGAGTTACAGACTCTCTCCCAGACCACAGACTCATAATACAAGTCAGAGCTTTATTTAAAAAAAGAAAGAAAAAAAGAAAGTTGTGTTTTCAAAATTGGAGTTCAAGTTATTTTTACTTCCAATAGTGTTAACATGCTACACAGATCGGCTTTGTCATACTGGTCACAGTTTATTTTAACTTTGACGTTATCAAATCAGAACGGACAGGGACGGGGCGCAGGTGAATCCTAACTCCGGTCATTTCTGTTTGGCAGCCTCCACGGACGACCCCGAGGACGAGATCAGCCCGTACTGTGAGACTGTTTTCCAGACCCGGAGACATCCTCCTGCCGCTGAGGTCAGACCGCCACCGCTCCTCCCCCTCACTGACAGAGACGCTCTTCTGACTTTCACAGGTCTGATAAAATGTGCTGCTTTGATCATTTATGTGCAGAGCGAGAGAAGCAGACATGAAGGAAGGGAGGCGAGGAAAGAAGAGAAGCACGCAGAGGATCATGGGTAAGGCGGCTACTCATCCTCATGAAACGAGACGTAAACGTGGCCTTGGAACCGATTCAAAATGCAGAAACATTTGCACGAATTACTTTAATGGACGTGATGATGTCATGCCCACGCTGTCTGCTTCACGTGCGTTGATAAAGTTTTTTGTGTTTTCAGGGGTCACAGGTTCTCGTGGACGAAGCGTTTTTCGCAGCCGTTTCACCCCGGGGACTCGCCAGGTTACAGCACTGTGGGAGAAGCTCCACCCTCCCTCCGCTGCCTTTCGCTGCCCCACCACGCCCTCCCCTGCGAGGCCGACGAGGACCTTACCATCTCCCCCTACGCCAGTTACACCTCCCTGACCGAGAGAGCCCCGCCCATCATTAGCGGCTGGCTGGACAAGCTGTCTCCGCAGGGGTGCGTTTGTTTCACACAGCTGATGGGGCCTGGATGTGGGAGGAGACTCTAAGTCTGACCCTGTTCTCTCTGTCTTTGTGGTTGGCAGGGGTCAGAGGTCATCTCTGCCCGTTCTGCTGTGTGTCCTTCTGTCTGCTCCTCCCTGTGTCTCCTTCCTCCTGAGGACATGCCTCTGCCTCGTCACTGTCCTTTCCTCCTCTTCCTACACTCGGTGTGTTTCCTTCCTTTCTCCTCTGCTTCCTTCCTTCCCTTACTGAAAGTCACTCAGTGTGGTGGAATTGGATGAAACCTAAATGTGTCTCCTCTCTTGTGTAAGTGGTAATGTGACCCTGGTGTGTGTTTGTGTTTTTCAGGAACTATGTTTTCCAGAAACGCTTCGTGAAGTTTGACGGCAAAAACTTGATGTACTTTGGCAGTGAGAAGGTACTCAGATCTTTATGATGTTGCCGCCGTCCTCGTGGGACGAGCTTAGAATTTCTCATCCTGCAGGTCAGAGGCGTGGGTCACTCTGCGCCCTGCGTTCAGCCTGTCAGGCTTCGTGTTCCTAACGTAACAGTCACCCCGACAGGTTCAGGAGGGTGGGCCCTTGTTAGCATCCTCTCATTAAGCTCCTGAACATTTCAGAGCTTTATTGATCCCAGCAGCGGAAAGACAAAAAAGAGGAAACACTGCTATCACCAGAGCTTGTCGCCCTGCTGACCGCACAGTTTGGACTCATCTCCTCTGACCTGTTCTCTGTTTCAGGACGCCTACCCAAAAGGAGTCATCCCATTGGCTGCCATCCAGATGGCCCGTCCAGCCAAAGACAATAAATTTGAAATTGTGACAAGTCACCGGATCTTTGTGTTCAGGACGGATAACGAAGGTAAACACACGACATCAGATTCTCTGATTTTTCTCTTCTTGTTGTAAACGTTTTCCCAATAAAAACACAAAATGCAACAAAATTCAAGGTTGATGATAATGATGGTGTTGATGATGATGGTGGGGGTGATGATGATGGGGGTGATGATGGTGGGGGTGATGATGATGGGGGTGATGATGGTGGGGGTGATGATGATGGGGGGATGATGCTGATGGTGGTGGCGATGACGATGATGCTGGTGATGATGATCTTAATGGTGTAGATGATGGGGGTGATGGTGATGATGGCGATGACAATGATGGTGGTAATGATATGTGATGACATGGTTGTGATGTGAAGATGATGATGATTAAAGCGCCTTAAGGCGACTGTTTTGATCTCATGCTGTATGATAGTGATGATGATGATGATAAAGATGATGATGATCATCATCGTCATCACGACCACCATCATCGTCATCACGACCATGATAGTGATGATGATGATGGTCGTGCTGATGGTCGTGATGACGATGATGATGATGGTCGTGATGATGATGATGATGATGGTTGTGAGGATAATGAGGATGATGGTTGTGATGATGATGATAGTGATGATGATGATGATGATGATGGTCGTGATGATGATGTTGGTCGTGATGATGATGATGGTCGTGAAGATGATGATGGTTATGATGATGAGGCTGATGATGGCTGTGATGATGATGATGATGGTCGTGACGATGATGATGATGATGGTCGTGATGATGATGTTGGTCGTGATGATGCTGATGGTCGTGAAGATGATGATGGTTATGATGATGAGGATGATGATGATTGTGGTGATGATGATGATGATGATGGTCATGACGATGATGATGGTGGTATTGACCATAATGATGATGATGATGCTTTTGATGATGGCAAAGCAGTTGATGTGTTTCCTGTGCATCAGTGCTGCGGCGGTGCTGGGTGTCCACGCTGCAGGAACACGTCAGAGATCAGCTGGTGTTTGGACGGCGGCGTTTTGGTCCTGGAGCTCACTGCCAGAAACATGGGGGCCTGGAACTCAAAGGAACAAAATCCAAAGTGTACGCTGCCATCAACACGGACCAGATCTGGCTCTACAAGAGCGAGCAGGTGAGGGCACCACCAGTTGACTTCCTGTGACTTTCTCAGGGTCCTGTGACTATTTCACTTCCCATGTTTCTCCAGTGTTTCCGTAACGGCATCGGCATCACGGTGATCGAAGCCCGCGGAGCAACGATCCGAGATGGAAAACACAAGAGCTTCGACCTCATCACGCCGTATAAAACTTTCAGGTGGGTGAGTTGAAACTCAGCTCAGCTGCTGCTTGATTTTGTCAGTACTGTCTGCAGTTACCAGCCTCGCTGACGCTGCATCAATCAAACTCTTGAGAAAGACTCAGGTTTGAGTCTCTGGGCTTTCCTGCTCTGCAGATCAAACTGAGTCCTGCCCTCAGCAGCGGGTCGCTGAATGAGAAAAATCTCTTATTGTCCCACACAGTTGGAGTTCTGAGTAATTCTGTTTTAATGAGAACGCTGAGACAAACAATGTAGATGTCGTTAAATGACCTTTGCTGCGCCTCCTCAGCTTCACCGCAGACTCAGACCGGGACAAACGGGACTGGATGGAGGCACTGCAGGAGGCGATCGCAGAAACTCTGTCAGATTACGAGGTGGCCGAGAAAATCTGGTCCAACCGCTCCAACAGGATGTGCGCGGACTGCAAGGCCCTGAACCCCGATTGGGCCTCCATCAACCTGTGTGTGGTCATCTGCAAGAACTGCGCAGGTACGACCTGCTCTCGAGGCTCGACATCTTCACTGATACCAGAATCAGAGTCCTCTTTCTCTGCTGTCAGTTTAGCTCTGATCTAATGACGGCGGCGGTCAGCTGTCAACTAACATGAGCTAGCGTGACAGAAACACATTTACAACCTGCAGCAAAAGCCTACATTTCATCTCATCCGCCCATCGATCTCTTATTTACAGTCTGTGTCATCACAGAGAGAGAAGCACACTGACTCACGTTATCTGGGACATCTGGTTAGGCAGGCCAGATGTTATCTCTTACCTGTCACAACAGGTAACAGTGGCCCAGTAACATTCCCAACAAGCAGCAACTAACAAAGCAGAAATGTAACCAACAACAACTGTAAGAACCTAACAACACGCACACACGCACGCACACACAGGTTCCCCACAGATCACCAGGGAAGCTGCTCTGAAGTCAGGAGGTCAGCATGGAGACCTGCAGCAGAAAGAAAAACACCACATGTTGAAGGTGAGGTTGTTTCTGTGGCTCACTGAAAATATCAGGCCAATAAACACACCTGCACAGGTAAACAGGCTCCTGTTTACCTGTGCAGACACGAATCACTGCAGGTGAAACTGCCACTTAGGAGACAAGTCTGTTAAGACTGCAAGATCGTCACCAGGTGATACATTGGTATTGTGCTAGTGTTTGGAGAAGTCAGTGATGAAACACACCAGTGTGTGTCACAGCTGTGTTTCCCACTGTGTGTGTGTGTGTGTGTGTGTGTGTGTGTGTGTGTGTGTGTGTGTGTGTGTGTGTGTGTGTGTGTGTGTGTGTAGGCCAGCACAGAGGGCTGGGCACGATGGTCTCCAAGGTTCAGAGTCTGAAACTGGACACAAGCGTGTGGAGCAACGAGATCGTTCAGGTGAGAGCGGCTTCAGGTGGCCTCTCGATCTGAGGTTGGTGTCAGTGCGGCTCTCTGCTGTTACAGGCTTTCAGCTGTAGGGGGGGTTAGTGGCAGGTGTAGTCTAACATCCACCTGTTTTTATGAAGTATTCACCTGTAAAGGTGGAAAAGCTTATTAAAGGACACTGAAGCTACTGAGAATGTGACAGAGAAGCTCTAAAGTACCAGCTCGGAGCAGCCGGTTCAGAACCAGCATTCACAGACGCCTGAAAGCAGAGCCGTGCTGTTGTGTTTGTTTGTTTGCTTATACTGTGTGTATGTTTGTGGGCCAGCTCTTCATCATGCTGGGGAACGACCGGGCCAACGACTTCTGGGCGGCCCGTCTGTCCGTCTCTGAGGAGTTGGACTGCGATGCGTCGGCTGAGCAGAGGAGAGAGTTCATCGCCCAGAAGTATCGCGAGGGTCGATACCGCCTTGCCCACCCGGCGTTCAGCAGCCAGGAGGAGCTGCTCAAGGTTTGCCCGACTGCTTTCATGAAATAAATACACTTAATGTTGGCATGCTGGGGTGAGAAGGGCCACAACAAGACGGGTCATAAAGGTTCATGCGTGAAATAGCTTCATGCAGCTTTAACTAACTGAAGCTAGTTAGGACGCTGTAATGCACACATGTGGTGTGTGCGGTGTGGTGCTGGGAGAGCGCGTCAGCCTCATAGATCGTAATGTTGTAGATGAGGTCAGACTCAGACCGCAGCAAATCATAAGCAGCTGCTCTTTGTGTGGGGGGAGCCTTTTTCCTGAGTGCACTGGGGCTCAGTGACCAAATGTTTAAAGCATCAGAGACGAAGATAAAAGCAGCTGGTAGATAAAAACAGGAGGCTTCGACTCACTCACACCTTTCGTCTAAGAAACTTCTGCATCAAAAGGTCAAAGGTTACCCTGATCAGCTGACATGCTGATCCAAACATTTAAAGCCTTAATAAACAATCGCGAAACAGAATCACAGCAGCACAGCCATGAGTCTGTCTCAGACACGCACACACTGAGTTACTGTCAGTCTATAGTACATCTGTGACATCATCAGAAGATGGCTCCTGCGTTTGTGTGTCCGGGTTCGCAGGGCCTGAGGTTTCCATGGCAGCAAACAGCAATAACAACGATGATGATGTGATAGTGTGCAGAGATGGTTCTGGTGTTGACGATGATACTTCGTGTCTCCAACAGGTTCTGTGTTCAGCCGTCTCTGAGCAGACTCTCCTGAAAACGGTGACTCAGATTTTCTCAGAGGCGGAGTCAGCTCACCTCGCCAACGACTCCAACGGCCGCCACCCCCACCTAGCGGATCACTGCAGCACATCAGGTTGGACTCTACTGTGCTCTGCTGTACTCTAATGCACTCTGCAGTGTTGAGCTGCGAGGAAGCAGGGCGTTGTATTTGATCCGATTAAATTCAACGTGTGAAGTCGGTGACTGAGCTCGGTGCGGAGCAGCGTTGGCGCTGAAGGTCAGCCGCTCCGTTATCAGTGCTGTCCTGCAGGGAGGCTTTCTCACTGTCACGCTCGGCTTCACTGAGCAGTTTTCCGAGTGTTGGCTCAGCAGAAGAACACCTGCGTCAGTGTCAGTTTGCTCCAGACGCAGCTGTGCAATATTTCTCTTTCGTTGATGTGATTGGCTGACGGTGTTTATCTGATAATGTTGTGCTTTTATCGGTCAGATCCCAGCGTCTACGATGAAATCATGCAGCCGATTCTTCACTCTGGGTACCTCTACAAGTCGAGCTCTGCCAACAGAGGAACAATGTCCAGAAAAAACAGAGAAGGTAGGAAGAGGCGGGGTCAGAGGGTTTAAGGTTTAAACAGTCCTCAGATCAGAACAAAGAGGCGGTAAACGCCTCCAACACCTGCCAAAATTCACCCAAACCAAAAACTGTCAGAGACGTTTTCAGGTCTTCAGCAGGTTTCTGCTTCAGTGTTCAGGCTCAGAGCACAGGGCGGGATGTTAGCTGTGTTAGCTCACAAAGGCTGCTGGCTTGGTACCACAGACCAGGACGTTGTAGCACGAGCTTGAAATGTGGTGTTTTTTAACGTCATCTCTTTTCAAACATCTCGTTTCCCACAACATAAGGATTATCTGATTTCTGAGCAGTGCTGACAAAGTAAAAGTTGCTCCTTAGACGTTTATTCAGATTGTGGTTTTGTTTCGTCCCGACGGCTGAAGCGCAGCTTCCAAACTCCATCAGATTCTCTGAGCCGTGTGCGCACTGGCAGCAAACACAAAGGAATTCTGGGAATTCTTGTGGAATTTGAGGCTACGCTGATACGATAACAATCAGAGCAGACTACAGCCACTCTGTAGCATCGTGACGTAGCTGTCGACGTATGCAGAATCATTTATGGCACTGACAGTTTGCTTCACCGCCCGCCTGTGAGCAGCACTAATGTTGCAGATGAAGAGGAGGGGAACGAACATTCATAGCTGAGTCTCGTGTAAAATTCTCTGTTCTCATCATCAGACTTCCAGAAGTTCTGGTGCTCGGTGGATCAGTCTCTGGTCTTCTACGAGTCAGATCGATCAGCTGATCCCAGCCTGCAGATCAGCGCTAAAGACATCGTGTGTTTGGGCGTCAGTCGACCCGACTCCTCCAACAACAACGGATTCATTGACAGGTTTTTATTCGCCAAGCTCCACGGTTAAACAGAAAGCTCAGATGGTCAGCCTGGTCAAACTCAAACTTTTCTCCCTCAGGTTTCGTTACACCTTCGAGTTGTATCTGACGTCGGAGAAACTCTTTCAGTTTGGCTTGGAAGCGTCCGACGAGCTGCACAGCTGGACCAAAGCCATCGGAAAGGTCTGCGCCGCATTTCGTCTGCATCCTCCTCACAGAGCAGCTGAACACGTTTGTTCTGCTGTTCATGTTACAAACAATCAAATAAATAATGTTACAAAATTGTTCTAACACAAAATATTTTCCCTAAAAACTTCCTTGAATAAAAAACTGATCCATGTTTGTGCTGCGACCGTCACCAGGCTGCCACGCCGCTCAGCTGTCACTGCCTGCTGACCCGAGAGTTTGAACGGGTCGGGCTTCTACGGTACCGGGCGATGCTGGACCCTCAGCAGTGGAAGGAGGCTTACTTTGTCCTGCAGAAGTCCAACCTGTTCATCTGTCCCCGCAACGACGGCGCCGCCGAGGACATCATCAACCTCAACCGCCTGCAGGAGCTGAGTATGTGTGCTGGTCCCGGTCCGGGTCCTGGTGAATAGTTCTGATGGAGTCTGATTGTTATTGACGGAGCGCTCTGTGTTCAGGTATCACCTCCGAGATGGAGAACCAGGAGAAGAAAGACATCCTGGTCCTGGTGGAAAAAGGAAGGTGAGTGTTTGTCTGGTCTAGGCTTCAGTTTGTTGTCTGCTTCACATTTTGACGCACATGCGTTCGGTGTTCCCGTCAGAACGCTCCACCTGCAGGGCGTCGGTCGCGCAGACTTCTCTCTGTGGTACTCCGACATTCAGCGAGCAGCCGGCGGTAAAGGAAATGCTCTGAGAGACCAGCAGATGAGCAGGAACGACATCCCCATCATCGTGGACAGCTGCATCGCCTTCATCACACAGTACGGTGAGGAAGACTGACAGACAGACTTTCCTTGTTGGTAAGGGTTGGGGTTAGGAGACTGTAGCTACGCCACTGTGGGCTCTGCTGCTGATGGAGGATCGTCTGATTAAACTGAACTGAAGAGGTGGAGGAAGCTTCAGGTCTCAATGGTGACAGGACAGTGAGATGAACAGAGCCTCTAACCCTCCTCAGGTCATTTTAAATAAATGAAAATATTTGGAAAAATGCACTTCTGAAGTACTTTTATGGCACCGTGCTCACTCACTCGTGAGCTGCTGCAACATGAATCAAATGGCTGAATTGCCACCTCAGCATGCAGGCAGCTTCTATAGAGTCTTGCTAATGACCTGCTAGTTGTATTCAGGTGTGTTGCAGCAGGGACACATGGAAAAGTTTCAGGACAGCGGCCCTCGAGGACTGGAGTTTGAGTTAGACGATACAGTTCACGTACTTCCTTTTGACCCTGGGGCCTAACCATGTAAACACTGGATTTCAAAGGATGTGAAGACCTTTTATTCGCTCACACATGAGAAAACGATCATTTAAAGACTGATTATCATCTTAATAATTCAGACTATTTTAGATATCTCCAATTGAGGACCTACTTCCAGCAGAACATTGTCACCAGAACTGATCTATATGATCCAATACTGATCCTTCTTCGTGGAAACAGGTAAGGCTGCGAGGGTTTTGACAAAGAAGCCTCACTCTACGGGCTGTGATAAAGAAAATGAAGGAAACATTTCAATATTAAATGAAGAATCGTTGGACGAATGTTCCTCCTTGTGGAAATGTACAAATTCCAGTATATGTCCAGCTGGAAATGTCTGATGTGTTTTTTCATCTGGACACAGGTACACTGTTGGAGGTTAGGTGGGCCGTTGGCACATGTTTTGGGGCTTCCCTATTATTAAACCCGTAAAACTTTAGTCAGTATATTTAAGGTAAATAACATACCTTTATAATTTTCTACCATACTCGTCTGCTGGGTAGAAAAGGTGCTTCTAGCAGGTGATTAACCCAAGCAAACCTGCGCTCCTCCCCGATGAGCTGCTTGAGTTTAGGAGGAGGAGGAGCAGTGTGTTAGATGCATTGTGAAGACTGAACCTCACTGCATGGTTCTTCTGCCGTTGTCATCAGGACGACTTGCTGCCGGGTTGAACTTGGCGTGTTTTTCCCTGCAGGATGTTTTAGAGCCAGAAGAAAAACCCTGCAGACCAGCTTATGTGTGATTTTACTGTTTCTGCTGATAAATGATGTGCTCAGATGTGATGAAAGAGGCACGCAGCTCTGTTCCCCTGGTTTCTCATGTCAGGATAACAGAGCCGTGTGACCGAAGCCGCTCTGGGTCTGTGCAGGTCTGGGTCACGAAGGCATCTACAGGAAGAACGGAGCCAAATCCAGGATCAAGCTGCTGATGGAGGAGTTCCGCAGAGACGCTCGAAACGTCAAGCTGCGGATCGGGGACCACTTCATCGAGGACGTGACCGACGTACTGAAGAGGTTCTTCAGAGAGATCGATGACCCAATCTTCATGGTCGACCTCCACCCACTGTGGCAGGAAGCTGCCAGTGAGTCCACCTTTCTTCTGAGCGGTGCTTCTGCTGTCAGGGTTCAGGTCCAGACCACAACCCGAACATCACCTGATTTTACTTATATTTCAGGGACGGTCGGCGGTACACCTTCAGCTGATTGTAATTTGTCTAAATGAGTGATTGGTGTCTGTAACGAGTTTGTTCTTCATGCTCAGAAATCCCTCAGAGGCGTGCGAGGCTGGACCGTTACAAAGACATCATCCGCACTCTACCCCGAGTCAACCGGACCACCCTGGCTGCTCTCATCAGTCACCTGTACAGGTGAGCTCCCTAAGAAGCTGCACTGGTTACACCTGGTGGGGGTGGGGCTTAGGAACTTGCCTTTTTGTAGAAAACAGCAGGTGAGTGTAGGACACTGAGCCAAACGATGAGTCTAAAGAGGTTACCTGCGGTTCTTTAGGGTCCAGAAGTGCGCAGATCTGAACCAGATGTGCACCAAGAACCTATCGCTGCTCTTCGCTCCAAGTCTGTTCCAGACGGATGGGAAAGGTGAGCATGAGGTGAAGATCGTGGAGGACCTGATAGACAACTACCTGTACGTCTTTGAAGTGAGTAAGCCGTAGGGGCACACCAACACGTTCCCCCGTGTGTGACGTTCTCCTGTGTGTGACGTTCTCCTGTGTGTGACGTTCTCCTGAGTGTGAGGTTCTCCTGTGTGACGTTCTCCCGTGTGTGACGTTCTCCTCTCTGTGTCATGTTCCCCCGTGTGTGACGTTGTCCTGGGTGTGACGTTCTCCTGAGTGACGTTCTCCTGTGTGTGTCGTTCTCCTGTGTGTGACGTTCTCCTCTCTTTGTCATGTTCCCCCGTGTGTGACGTTGTCCCGTGTGTGACGTTGTCCCGTGTGACGTTCTCCTGTGTGTGAGGTTCTCCTGTGTGTGACGTTCTCCCGTATGTGACGTTCTCCTGTGTGTGACGTTCTCCTGAGTGTGAGGTTCTCCTGAGTGTGAGGTTCTCCTGTGTGACGTTCTCCCGTGTGTGACGTTCTCCTCTCTTTGTCATGTTCCCCCGTGTGTGACGTTGTCCCGTGTGTGACGTTGTCCCGTGTGACGTTCTCCTGTGTGTGAGGTTCTCCTGAGTGTGACGTTCTCCTGTGTGTGACGTTCTCCTGTGTGTGAGGTTCTCCTGAGTGTGAGGTTCTCCTGAGTGTGACGTTTTCCTGTGTGTGACGTTGTCCTCTGTGTCTCATGTTCCCTCGTGTGTGATGTTGTCCTCCCTGTCTCATGTTCCGTCGTGTGTGACGTTTTCCTGTGTGCGACGTTCTCCTGTGTGTGAGGTTCTCCTGTGTGTGACGTTCTCCTGAGTGTGAGGTTCTCCTGTGTGTGAGGTTCTCCTGTGTGTGAGGTTCTCCTGAGTGTGAGGTTCTCCTGAGTGTGACGTTTTCCTGTGTGTGACGTTGTCCTCTGTGTCATGTTCCCTCGTGTGTGATGTTGTCCTGTGTGCGACGTTCTCCTGTGTGTGAGGTTCTCCTGTGTGTGACGTTCTCCTGTGTGTGACGTTCTCCTGTGTGTGAGGTTCTCCTGAGTGTGACGTTTTCCTGTGTGTGAGGTTCTCCTGAGTGTGACGTTTTCCTGTGTGTGACGTTGTCCTCTGTGTCATGTTCCCTCGTGTGTGATGTTGTCCTGTGTGCGACGTTCTCCTGTGTGTGACGTTCTCCTGTGTGTGACGTTCTCCTGTGTGTGACGTTCTCCTGTGTGTGAGGTTCTCCTGAGTGTGACGTTTTCCTGAGTGTGACGTTTTCCTGTGTGTGACGTTGTCCTCTGTGTCATGTTCCCTCGTGTGTGACGTTTTCCTGTGTGTGACGTTCTCCTGAGTGTGACGTTCTCCTGTGTGTGACGTTCTCCTGAGTGTGACGTTTTCCTGTGTGTGACGTTGTCCTCTGTGTCATGTTCCCTCGTGTGTGACGTTGTCCTCCCTGTCTCATGTTCCCTCGTGTGTGACGTTTTCCTGTGTGCGACGTTCTCCTGTGTGTGACGTTGTCCTGTGTGTGATGTTCTCCTGAGTGTCGTTCTCCTGTGTTTGACGTTCTCCTCTCTGTGTCATGTACCCCCGTGTGTGACGTTCTCCTGTGTGTGACGTTCTCCTGAGTGTCGTTCTCCTGTGTGTGTCGTTCTCCTGTGTGTGACGTTCTCCTGTGTGTGTCGTTCTCCTGAGTGAAGTTCTCCTGAGTGTGACGTTCTCCTGTGTGTGTCGTTCTCCTGAGTGAAGTTCTCCTGAGTGTGAGGTTCTCCTGTGTGTGTCGTTCTCCTGAGTGAAGTTCTCCTGAGTGTGAGGTTCTCCTGTGTGTGAGGTTCTCCTGTGTGTGAGGTTCTCCTGTGTGCGACGTTTTCCTGTGTGCGACGTTCTCCTTTGTGTGAGGTTCTCCTGTGTGTGAGGTTCTCCTGTGTGTGAGGTTCTCCTGAGTGTGACGTTCTCCTGTGTGTGACGTTCTCCTGAGTGTGACGTTTTCCTGTGTGTGACGTTGTCCTCTGTGTCATGTTCCCTCGTGTGTGACGTTGTCCTCCCTGTCTCATGTTCCCTCGTGTGTGACGTTTTCCTGTGTGCGACGTTCTCCTGTGTGTGACGTTGTCCTATGTGTGACGTTCTCCTGAGTGTCGTTCTCCTGTGTTTGACGTTCTCCTCTCTGTGTCATGTACCCCCGTGTGTGACGTTCTCCTGTGTGTGACGTTCTCCTGAGTGTCGTTCTCCTGTGTGTGACGTTCTCCTGTGTGTGTCGTTCTCCTGAGTGAAGTTCTCCTGAGTGTGACGTTCTCCTGTGTGTGACGTTCTCCTCTTTGTCATGTTCTCCTGTGTGTGACGTTGTCCCGTGTGTGACGTTCTGTTTTGTGTTTCAGATCGATGAGGAGCATCAGACCCAGATTGAGCTGGAAATCAGCCTCATCACCACCTGGAAGGACACTCAGGTACACAAACTCACTCTTGCACAGACACACAGGTGAACCATAGAACGTAGAACATGTGTTAAGTGTTTCATTCAGCGTCCTGGTCTCTGGGACCAACGTGATCATCCGTCTCTATCCCAGCATCCTGTTGCCCCACCCTCTGCATGTCCTCCTTCACTACACCCATGAACCTCCTCTGAGGCCTTCCTCCTCTCCTCCTGCCTGGCAGCTCCATCTTCATCATCCTTTGTGCGATGCGTTCCCTCAGCCGGTCCTCGGCGGTTCCTTTTAAAGTTTAGCTGATTTTGCCTCTGTGTCTGAAACCGCCGCCTGATTGGTTGATTCTGTACAGCTCTCTCAGGCCGGTGATCTGATCATTGAAATCTATCTGGAGATGAAGATACCCGACTGCTGCATAACTCTCAAAGTAAGGCTGGGCATCGTTAATCAGAACTTTTATTGATAGCAATAATGACAATTACTAAAGCTGTGTGACCTCTGACCCGTGCAGGTGTCTCCCACCATGTGTGCTGAGGAGCTGACCAATCAGGTTCTGTACATGAGGAACGTCCCAGCTGGGGACAAAGACGTCTGGATGACGTTTGAGGCCATCGAGGACGGTCAGCTGGGTGAGCAAACACTCCTGTCTCTCTCAGGAGGTCAGAGGTCACCTGTCTCACATGTTGGTTGTTGTCATGTTTCTAGAGCGTCCGTTACACCCCAAAGAGAAGGTCCTGGAGCAAGCTCTGCAGTGGTGTAAGATGGCCGACCCGAGCTCCGCCTACCTGGTGGTGAAGAGGGTCCCTAAAGGAGAAGGCATCACTCTCCTCACCTGTAGGTGGACACAACTGTGCAATAATAAGCTTCTGATGTTGCATTAATGGCTAACGTGTCCACCTGTGTGTGCCTGTCAGCCTATAAGAGCGAGATCATGAAGGTGGGTCTGCTGAGGTGTCGCGAGGAGCCTCCGAAGCTCCTTCAGGGGACCAGGTTCCAGGAGAGAACGTTCCAGATTCGACACCACAAACTGCTGCTGCTCAAAGACAAGAAGGTAGTCGGGAACAGTAGACAGCAGTAAAACAAACAGTTAAAAAAGAATAGAATAGAATAGATATCATTGTACATGGACAACAAAACTGTAGGCGCTCCACACCAACTGTGGCCGAATACTTAACAAACAGGAGAAATGTGTACAAAATACTGGAGAACAAGAAGACGAGTAACACCTGGGAAAACATTAAAAACCAAAATAAGAACAGAAAACCAGCAAATCTCAGTAAGACAATAGTAAAAAACAAAAGTCTCAACATCTGTGTCTGCAGAGCATCAAACCTGAGAAGGAGTGGGCTCTGAAGTCCTTAAAGATCTACATCGGCATCCGCAAGAAGCTGAAGGCTCCAACCAGGTAACACACACAAGTCTGGTTTGCTATCCTCGTGGGGACCTCCCATTGACATAATGCTTTTCCTAGCTGCTTACCCTAACCATCAAAAATGAATGACTAACACTGACCCTACACCTAAACCGAACTCAAATGTAGCTTCACACATAAACCACATTTTGAGTGTGAAAAATGGCCTCAACCCTGGGCTGTTGGTCCCCACCAGTATAGTAAGAACCCGTACACACAAACACACACACACAGACACACACCCACATGCACATAGACACACACATGCACACACACACTCCTGCAGTCTGAACTGAGCACTGAGCGTCAGAGGCTGATGGCTTGTGTGTTTCCTGTGCAGGTGGGGCTTCACAGTGATGTCAGACAAACACCAGCTGTAAGTATCAGGGCTCACCTGTCCTCCTCAGCGTCACACTCACCTGTAGCTGATGTTTGACTCAGTCACACATGGACGTTGTGCATTAAAATAAAAGCTCTGAGGGTTTGAGTTTTGCATGAAGTCAAAAGTATCTGCCCCTCCCCTCCACCAGGTACCTGTGCTGCAGCAGTGAGGCCGAGCTGTGGGATTGGATCACGAGCCTTCTCAGAGCTCAGGTACGTTTACCTGCACACTGGTCTGGGATCAGCCGTCGCTCCTGTGCTGGCCATCATGGATGTGCTTCTGTTGCAGAACGATGACCCGGGTCCTCCAGTGCTGCGCCGCCACTCCTCCTCTGACATCTCCAAGCAGAAGTTCGGAACGATGCCGCTCGTCCCCATCAGAGGAGACGAGAGCAATAGCAGCATGCTGTCGGCCAATCAGACGCTGGTTAGGGTCCAAATCTCTGCTGTTTCTCAGACATGCTCAGTAAACTCTCACAGGTCAAATGCACAAACCCGTCATCTGTACTTTGTCTTCCCCCTGCAGAGGAAACTACACGACCGGAGAACTCTCTCCATGTACTTTGTAAGTACTCTGTACTTCCTCTCGTCTCACTCGTGAGCCTGTAGTAAACGCTGGGGGGGCGGGGTTTAACCTTGGGTCTCGTGTGTGTCTCCAGCCCATGAAGGTCCAGCAGGACTCGTTCGAGGAACGCTCGGAGTCTCCTGACCTGCCTGAGCCGCTCTATGAGGAGGTCGGCGACTTCGGCCTGCAGGTCCTGAAGTCTCTGGAGACCAGCTTCCTGTCCAGCAGCATCGCAGAGACCCAGGAAGTGCCAGACCACCCCCCACTCAGGTTGGTTCCCGTGGAGTCCAGAGATTTGGATCACATGATCATCCCGGAAGTAGTCCGGATGGCGAGAGGCTCCGTGGAGACTCTGGAGCAGAGCAGCAGCAGTAGCGGAGGAGCCGGCGGAGGCGATGGAGATGCAGGCTCTCCAGATTCAGATGCTGCCAGCCAGCCTGCAGTGAGAAGCAGGCAGACGCTGATGGGAGTCTGCACGCCATCGCAGGAACTGCTCCTGCAAGAGCTGTCCTCCGCCTTCATCAAGAATACCACGGAGGAGGAGCGGGAGGAAGAGGAGAGGCCCTACGATGTCTGAGGACCGAACAGTGGAGTCACATGATCTCCCTCCATTCACAGCACGCCAGCAGTCGACTCAAGGTAGCCATTCAGGTTACAGAGACAACGATCACATGACCTCATACAGGACCCGTCAGGCAGACTTTACTGTAAAAGCTGCGGCTGAGGAGGGCCATGTGATTCGGCCGCCTGTAGGTGATTGGAGCTCAGTTCGGGGCTGTACTAACATCAGCGGCTCTCTGACTTTTTCAGCCTGTGTGTGTGCAGCGTCCTCTGCAGCCAGGAGAGGGCGCTGTATCAGTTTGTACTTAACAGACTGAGAGCTGAGTGTTCTCTTTATGTAACAGGAAGTTTGATCACACGTGTTTAATTGTGAATGACTCACAAACGGTGAAAAATGTTTTTATGATATTTTAATGTTTCCAACGAGTCTAATCTGATATCTCACATCAGTAACCTTCTCTAACCTGTCAGTTCAAATACTCGATGAAGCTCACACAGGTAAAGGAGGAAGGTGTCACAGGTAACCCACAGCGCTGTTCCTGCGGATGTGTTTAAATAAAGTTAGAAGAGACTAAGTGACAGAGAGCCGGCTTCAGTGACGACTCTGGGATTACACATCAGATTACACAAACGATGACATCATGGAAACGCGGAGCTGTGAAGATTAAATTGAAGTAAACGAGCTGCAACGTGTGGAACAAATCAAACTGTGAACACAGTTGGTCACATCTAAACGCAGGCGCCTCATTGGTCAGTTCTACACGTCTGTGTGTAAAGTGACCAATGAGGCGCCTGCCTCAGTCTTAAATTGGCTGTCTGGAAGTCATGCGTTGGTTTGGCGCCTCCTGCTGGGACAGTGTAACGTGTTCTTCCTGTCGCTCTGTCAGTGCTAATGCTGCATTTCCTGTGAGGATTTCATAATAAAAGTCATGTGATGATCCAGCTGGAGTTCATAGTACTGCAGTACTTCCATCAGTTATCACTTTGTATTCGTTTGGAAGCTGTATGAACATTTTTATAGACATGTTATTCATATAAAGACACTTGTAAACATATCTGCAGTAACACACACGTGTGTATTTATGGGAGTGTTTCCCAGTAGCCACAGTGTTCCAGTAAAGCTGCTGGTGAGGCCAGACTGGCCTCACTGGTTTGTGTTGCTGAAACCTCTGTGTGCTCATGTTCCTGTACAGATTTGGGATGTGTTATTAAAATGCTGGTTTGCTGCAAATTGATTGGTTCAGAGCTGTCATGCCTTATCCAATATTTCCTCTTATTCTGAAAAGCTTCCTCTTGATGGTTTGGCAGGATGTGATGCAGAGAGCGAGCAGCAGGTATTCAAACATTCTGCAGGGAAGTCTTCTTACAGAGAAACTGCTTCCTCCGAGGGAAGGGTCCTCGTGTCAGAGTGTGGACAGCCTCTCAAAGAAGCCGAATTAATCAGATCTGAGAGCAAACTCGAACACAAAGATCACATCCAACTTTATTTATTCAGACTTTCCTAACAAAGACACAAATTTCCCAAAGGAACGTCATAACTGTGCCGGCACTGTTAGCGATCCATCCAGAAGCTCGCAGAGAACCCATAGCATCGGTTTGTCAGCTAAAATACCAGCTGACTGATCACAGGGAGGGGTCAGTGATGGTCGGTTTTCACACGGACCTCTGTTTCACAATCAGAAGGTTCGGCACCTGCTGGATTTTAGAAGGAACACGCTTCCATGTTGGCTTCACTCTTAAGATCAGGAAGCTACGTCCAATTTTTAGACTTTATCACTTCTAAACTGACAAGTTATTAATGTGTACATGAAGCAAAGACCATGATCCCACCCGCTGGCTTTTAAAGAGCTCTGTAGTTATCTCAGTGTCCATCGTCTCTCCTGGTCCGTCACTCTGTAGAGAAACACAAGCTCCAGCAGCTGTGAGGAGGGTGTGCGTGTTTCCTGAATCAGTAACAGCTCACAGGTGAACAGGATGTATGCAGGTAAACCGGAGGGTCCGTCGAGCTGATCGGTGGTTTCGTGAGGATAATGTCAATACGTGCATGCATTTGTGCGAGCTGCAGATGGAGACTTTGTTTGCTGAGGTCTTCAGTCTTGTGAAACCGCCTGACACTCTGGCAGACAGACACAGACACCCTTAACCTGAAACACTGGCACAGGTTAACGTGGAGTCGAAGTCTGAATAGAACAGAATAGAATTCAGCTTTATTGTCATTGCACATGTCCAAGTAAGGCAACCAAATGCAGTTTGCATCCATCCAGAAAGTGCTTCAGCAATAATACAGATATATTACAGAATATGGATCTATGTTACAGTGTACAGGGTATGAAGGTATGTTATGAATATGCTATAACTACAAGCTACGCACAGTATATGAACAGTCTGTTTACACACCATGAAGGAGGTGGAGCCATGAGTGAGACTTTGAACTCATGCACTGTTCCTTTAACCGCCAATAAAACCTTTACTGGAAAGGCAAGCAGGAGCATTCTTGCCAACCTTGAGACCTCAGAATTAGGGAGACATTCAAAAGGGCTGCTGGGGGGTGGTATATATATATATATATATATTTTTTTTTTTCCTAAATGACATCAGAAACAGCAGTATGCGACATTACGTGATGGCAGAGCTTCAGTTCATCCTTTGTCATTTTTTTTTTTTTTTTTTTTTTTTTTTTTTAATAAATAGGACAGGGGGAATGAATGAGAGAGAGAGAGGGGGAGAGAAAGAAAGAAAACCCAAAGGGGAGAAGAGACGGTGAGAAGGGGGGGGAAGAGAGAGAGAAAAAAAAAAAACTCCTGGGTCACCTGTATGGAGAAAAAACAAACAAACAAACAAACAAAAACAAACAGAGGAGACAGCAAACAACAAAGAGCAACATAATAATAGAGAAAACAAAGCACCATCACAATAAACTAGCTAGTCATAGATATCAGTATTTACCAAGTAATAAACGATATTGTGCAGCACGCAAGATAGACAGCGCACAGTGTGCTTTGAGGCAGCAGCCAAGAAAGCCCCAGTCCGCGTCTGTGAATACCCATGTGTGCACACCTGTGTGGATCAGCATGCCTGCATTCCAAAGGTTTCTCCATGTAATGATCTGCTAGGGAGCGTGGGGGGGCCACAGCCCCGTCCTCCAGGGCGTGAAGCGGGCACGGAGGAGATCAAAACTCCAGACATCCAGAGGCCCCCAGAACACAAGAGACCACGGAAGACCAACAGAGGGGCAGCCGCGCCACTGTCCCAGCAAGAGCCGAGGAGAGTCCCAGATGAGGGCCCGCCCAGCAGCCGCGGAGCAGAAGTCAGGGGGAGCCGCAGTGACGCGCCCGCGAGCTCCGCCGGCCCCCAGCCGCGCCTGAGTGACCGAGCCCTAGGCCGAGAGGCCGGGGGCACCCCACCTCCAAAGGGGCCCGAGCGAGCCCCAGGCCCCAGGCCCCGACAAGCGGCCGCCAAGGAGTGAGCCGGTGTGCACCCGGACACCCACCCCCAGACACAAAGAACCACCAACACACCGACACCTGAGGGAGTCCGCCACCGGCAGGGGAAGTGGTGGTGGGTGGAGATAGGCCTCCAAACCTTGGAGGGCCTGAGGTGTCCCCAGAGATGAACAAATGACCAGACATCCCCCAGCTTCTGTCTCCTGAGGGGCACCAGACAGGGATGCCCACTCTCCCCCTCACTTTTTGCAATTTTTATCGAACCTCTAGCAGCAGCATTTAGACAGGCTACAACAATTAAGGGCATAAAATGTAAGAACATAGAACATAAAATCAGTCTCTATGCGGATGATGTGTTGCTTTTTCTGCAAAACACACAAACCAACCTCTCTGAGGTAATTACTTTAATAAACTGGTTTTCAAGAGTTTCAGATTATTCAATTAACTGGCCAAAATCTACAGTTCTCCCCATTAACTGCTCCTTCCATAATTCTTCCTCTGCCCCACTGCAATCCGGAAATATTAAATATTTAGGTATTAATATCTCTCCTAAGCTTTCAGACTTAACTAAACTAAACCACATCCCACTTCTAAAGAAAGTAGAAGGCGATCTGACTAGATGGAAATCTTTACCCATATCACTCATGGGAAGGGTCGCCACTATAAAAATGATGATCTTGCCAAAAATAAATTACTTATTTTTGATGATCCCTAACAAACCATCACAAGATTGGTTCAGATCTCTGGATTCATATATTTCCAAATTCCTTTGGAAAGATAAACCCCCGCGTATCAGCTTAAAAACGCTACAAAGAACCAAGGATAGAGGAGGATTAGATCTGCCTAATTTTCACCAATACTTCTTAGCCAACAGGCTTCAGTTCATCTCAGAATGGTTAGAACATACCTTCTTAGTTGAGCCCTGGCTAGATGTTGAACAGGCACTATGCAAGGATCTAGAGATTTCAGACCTACCATTTATTAGCTCAAACATCAAAAGACATGAATGCTTTAAAAGTATCAACATCAGCTTTTCTCTAACAGCATGGTGGGAGTTTCTAAAAATAACGGAGTCTTCATTAATCCCATGCAAACGTACACCTATCTGGAATAACCCTGACATATTACAAAACAATAATATGATTAATTTCCCAGAATGGAGTTGTAAAGGAATTAAATACTTAGAACATATATTAGAGGGAACAGAATTTATTCCATTTGACAGACTAGTTGAACAATATGGGATCAACAAGACAAGGTTTTTAGAATATCAACAAATTAAATCCATAGTAAAAAAGAAATTTAACCTCAGTCAAGTTGAATTACAAACACCACTAAGTGCGGCACATTTTCTTACTCTTAAATCCCCCAAATTATTATCTAAAATATACAGAACACTTTCTAAATTAGATGAATCAATATCCCTTCCTACTGCAAAGTGGGAAGCAGATTTATCAGTCAACCTAGACCAAAACTTCTGGTCTCAGATTTGCTTAAAAACTTTTAAATTAATTAAAAATCCCAGTCTGCAATTAATACAATACAAAATACTTCATAGAGTGCACTATACAGGTCATCGGATGTTCAAGATGGGCTTTACATCTTCCAACAACTGCTCACACTGTCAAGGCAATACACCAGACAATTACATCCACGCTCTTTGGTTCTGTCCACCAGTGCAAAAGTTTTGGCGCGAGATATGTGAAGACTTATCAAAATGTCTGAAATGTAACATTCCAACCTCCCCCTTAGTGTGTTTGTTGGGCAGCTTAGATAATGTCACTTCAGAAAAGAATATAGCCCATATGATCTTCACTGCCCTATGCATAGCCAAGAAAACAGTCCTCATGAACTGGAAAAATAAAAATAATCTTAATTCTAACCAATATAGAAATTATCTATTAGATTACATTAGTCTTGATACAGCCTCTGCCACCACATTAGATCAATTGCTCTGGGCCCCTTTTATCAGCTCCATCACCTAGTGGGGGTGGGGGGTCATAGTTTGGTCCCGCCTTCACTGTTGTGATTGGTGAGGGGGTAGGGACAGGCTTAGGGCGTCGGGGGGTTCCCCGGAGGCATCTTCCTTGGGGGGCTCAACCTGGGGTAGCGGTCACGTCCGGTTGAGGGCTCTGTTGGCTCTCAGGTGACTGTTTCCTCGCGGCTGCGTGCAGCGGGGCTAGGGGAGGGTCTGTGCTGACGGACGTGGGTTACTGACCTGGCAACCTGGCTGCCCCTGGGTGGGTCCGGGATGGGCGTGAGGTTTTGGGGGCGCTCCGTCTCTGGGCTGGGGCCCGGGCCGGGCCTCGGGGGCTCGGGTCCTGGTTGGTGTGTTGCCGGGGTTGTGGGCGGGTGGGTGCATGGGGGCCCGGCCCTGGAGCAGGGTGCCGCCGGTGCATCGAGCCGCCTGGGGGGCTCTTCAACTGGTGGGGGGATGGTCACATCTTGCAGGAGCTTTCTTCTCTCAGGAACTCTCTGCAGGAGGGGGAGATACAGGAGAGGTGGAGGAAGATCTCAGCCTGGGCGTTTACCGTCTTATGTAGTCTGGAAGATGTGTGGTTGGTGGGGTGGGTGCAGTTTTCTCTGTGGTGGGGTTGGGTGGACTGTCCAGGGCTCTGTGGAGCCGGGGGGCGCTACTGCACTGGGCCCCGGTCTGATGGGCCTGGGCCCCCCTTCCCTGGCGGGTCGCGGAGGGTGGGAGTGCCTACTGGGGTCAGCGGGGGAGCTGGCCCCAGGGAGGGGTTACCTGCCCCTCCCTTCCTTCCCTCCCCATCTCCAGCTGCCTCCCTCTT